TATTAGTCATCTAAATTATCTTTAAATTCATTAAGTTGAATAGATCATATCAAAGCAATTTTTATATGATTTAATTTTAAATTTCTAGTCAAGTAAGAAGTCAAGTTTAGAAATTTCAGAATTCAACCGAGTTTAATAATAATACCAAATAATTAACCATAACATGAATTTTTTTTAACATTCATTTTTTTATATTTTTATATGGTTTATTTTTTTTATTTTTTTTAACGTTCATTTTTTTTTATTTTTTATATATGAGCAGCCCTGTAAACTAATGATGACCAAATTAATTTTACAATCAAAATCCCGCTTCAACCCCATATAGTTAGTTCAAAATTTCACATCTATGCAAACCAAATTCATGGCCTCTCCTCCGTGCACGAAGGTGAAATTAAATTATTATGCTGTCCATGTTAAAAACAATAAACACTAAGTATTTAACATGTCAAGATCTTATTCATTATTGATTTCCAACGCACACAAACACAAACACCTTAAATTTTAAAATTTTACTATTATATTTATGGAGAAATTATAAAATAAAGATAACCTCAAAATATCTTATTCCAATAAAAATTCTAAATACTATTTTAATAACGATTCTAGTTAACTACTTAAACTAAAATTCTAAACACCTTATTATCATGATCATCATTAAAATATATTTTTAATCAAGGAATCATTTTTTTTTATCTGAACAACCCTCTTTAAACTGATGTTATTAAACACTCAATTTAGCAATAAAAGACTCTTCTCTAAATAAGATCTTATTGAGTGTAAACAAGTAATTTTATAGGTTTCACAAACGATTTCATCTTGAAATTATGTTCTTCTATATTTCCTTTGCAAAGGATATATAGATCTTTAATATCTTGCAATTGCATATGAATTGTGAATGTATTTCTAAATTGATCTTAATCTAGTAATCTGCAGAATACTAGATTCGATAGAGAGTATATCTTGCTTTCGCTGGCTAGAAATTAGAGCATTATCAAATATTTTTCTTAACTTTCTTCCATGAGTGAAATAAAAGTAATCGAAGTATATTTTATTTTTTATGATGATCCTGTTAGGTTGGTTGCCATTGCATGTGCAACAAATGGACGACACCAACCATTGACTATTGGCAGCCACCATTGTTGAATGAGCAAGAGTTGGTGGCCACCAATATTGACAAACAAGTAAGAAGAGCTGCCAAGGATGCCTATAAAAGAGGCACGATTTTAGAGAGCAAAACGTGAAGAGGATTGTGAGAATGTGAAGAGAGTAGAGAGAAAGAGAGAGCTGCAAGTGCAGCAAAGAGAGCTCGGAGTAGAGTAGAGAGAAGTGATCTTTCTCCTCCATGTATTTGTTTTGTATTCTTTCTCTAATCTCTAATAATATAGACTCTCTTCCGTGGATGTAGGCGGTTTTGCCGAACCACGTAAATATCATGTCAGTGTGCTTGACCCTCCTATGAGCAAATATCAGTACATCACCGGTCGAAATTCCCTACAGATACATCTATTTTATTAGCTACAATACTTGCAGTTTCCATTGCTCAATGCACTAAATTTTATTTCTCAAAGTAATGATGACGTCATCATGACGTCACAATTTCGTCAGCATGAACAGGTGGCATGACATGTCAGCACCAGTCAGCAGCCACG